CAGCAGCAGTGGCAGCCACCTCCTCCGGAGCCAACTGTGAATGCAGGGGTGGGGGCGGGCGGGAGCTCGAGGCGTCCGCACTTGGGGGGGGGGCAGAGAGAGAAAGAAGACACCAGGAACCGGCTCCGCACCCCTGCCCTTCCCCCAGCCCTCCTGCAGCAGCGCAGACTTAGCAGCAGGGAGATCTTGGAGAGAAGGAGGGAGAGGAGAGCAAGAGGAGAGAGGCACTGATGCAGAGTTGAGGAGAGGCAGAGCCCGCACACCTTGCGCTTCTGCAGGACGCTCCTGCACCCCCAGTCGGGCGGGCGGGCGGCACAAGGTAGAGGTCAGGGCGGAACAAAAGCGAAGACCTGCGGGTGAGCGCTCCGCACAYGCACACGGCCCGCACGCCGGGACTCGCGCGGGCGGGGGAGGGGAGTGCCTGACCCGGGGCGGGTGCGCGTGGGGGCCCCTCGGTCAGGAGCGGCCTCACCTTGGCAGCTCTTATATACCCGGCCAAGCATCCCAAACACGCGGCCGGGCCAAGTGGCCCCCTCGGGCTGTGCTCCCTGACCATATTTAGTCAAGCAGGGGAAAAAATAGCCTGTCAGCTGGGCCGCCGCTGGCCAGGCCGCCGGGAACAGGGTGGAAGCCCCGGCGCCATTGACGGTGGCGGTCCTGGGCGCAGGCCGCTGCCGCCCCCCTCACAGCCCCTCCCTGAGTAGCCTCCCACCGGCTGTCCCTGCCCTGCCATCCCCCTGCTATTTTTAGCCCAGCCCAGTGCAGAGGCACCTCCTCAGCAGTGGGCAGTGGCCTCCAAGGCTGGGCCGGCCCACTCCTCCGTGCCCTGGGAGATCCCCGCAGCTGCAGGGTGCCAGCCAAGAGGGGAGCCTCCCTCCTGCTGTGACCTCCTRAGCCGGGCTCAGGGCCCTCAGGGTCTTCTGGGCTTTGCCTCTTTGCCCAGAAATGGGGTCTGAATCGGGTGGTGACAGAGCAGACCGGGTTTCCAAAGACTCCTGAATCAATCCCAAGTAACAAGAATTGCAGGTCACCCTGGACAGCGTGCCAGGCCACTCACCTGCCACCCACCCCAGGCCCTGCCACCAAGGTCATGTGACTGGGAGACCCCAATTTCGTGGTGCTGGTTATGCTTGGGAGTCCCCCAACCTGGGTCACGCCTGAATTTCCTCAAGGGCAAGTGCAGAGCGCGGCCCGGACCCAGATTCCAGCAGCCTGGGTTGGCCTAGTGTCCCATCAAGACAGATCTTCTCATCGCTCTGGGGACCTCCCAAGACTGTGAAGTAGAGTGACTGGACCAGTCCTTGAGGGCCAGGCCTGGAGAGGGCCAAGTGTGGAGTCCCATGGGGTGGGGTGGGCAACCAGCTCCTGGGGTCCTTAAACCCAGGCAGAGCCTGGGCAGCAAGAGGCCTGCCCTTGTTCCGGAAGCTGCTTGAAAACCAGTCAGGGGCAGGACAGGGCCCAGGCTGCTCCAAGCATGCACACCAGCACCAAACGTGGGGGACATGGTGAAGAATTCGCATGCACCATGTCAGGTCCCCAGGCACAGAGGCAAGGATGTGCTCCCAGGTCACCTCCCGGGCTTACCGTCCTCTCCCTGTGAGGATGCTGCCCAGGCTGGGTCTGCAGAGGCTGGGAGAGACGAGATGGAAAGCCACATGGTGGCCATTATTAAGCTGCTGGACACTCCTGTCCCAGCCCCTGAGGGTGAGCGCATGGAGGAGGGTCCCTGAGCTGGCTGAGCTGGGGTGGGGTCCAGTGTGGCAGCAAGGCCAGCTCCAGCCCCTATGAAGGACATAGCCCAGTGTTTCACACAGGGCCCCCTCTTCCCAGCAGAAAGGCTGATGCCAGTTCCCAAGGTCCCCAGGGTCGAGGACAARGCCAGAAACCAGAGCATCATTTACCCAGAACACGGCCATCACAGCAGCAGGCATGTGCAGCACTGGGAAATTGCATGTTCCAGAAGCTTCTGTGAGGAGTCTGCCGGGCTKTGAGGCATCCCTGAGGTGGACATTCTGTCACCCCCTCCATGGGGGAGCGGGCCAGGTGGGAAGGCAGACCTGTGCTCTTGCTTCAGTCCCTGAGGGCCAAGACCACCCCCTTTACAGGGGACACTGGAGAGTGTGAGCCAGGGCCTGGGCCCCACCCTGGAACCTGCCCTGGGTGTCCCCAGGGGACACCTGCAGGGGAGTTAACACAGGAATGAATATAGGAGTTGTGAGCAATCCCCGTCTTGTCCCATAGGACACCCGTGGTGGACACCYGTGCTGCCCCACCTGGCCCTGCCATGCACCTGAGGCTGCCGGGTGTTTGAGAGGCTGGCGCAGCTGCAGCCTGAACCCCCCTATCTTAGGTGTGATGTTTGTCTCATGGCCACCTGTGCTAGTGGCCCCCGTGTCGGGGTGGGAGAGGGACCACGCACCGTTGAACAAACGCGTGTAGACTGGGTAGGGAGGCCTTCTAGAAGGAACTGCTGGGGGAAGCTTGGGCTGGTCCAGGGTGGTCTTACAGGCCTGGAGTGGGGCCAAGGAGCCCAGAGACGTGGAGAGTGCTGGGGCACTGGCCCCTCTTTCTGCGCCCCCACAGCCCTGTCCCGTCCCCACACCTGGAGTCGCCCTGCACCCAGGACCGGCTGAGTGTAGCCAGAGGGAAGCCTGGAGAGCCAGGGGAGGGAGCCCCAGGCCCAGGATGTGGAGGACAGCTGCCCTCGACCTGACCAGGGGGCCCTGGAGTCTGGGTAAGTGGAAGCATGCCCTTGGTGTCCCCAGGGGGACGCCTGCATCCRGGCCACAGGGCACCTCGTCCCAGGTGGGGACCTCACTGTGCAGGCAAGAGGAGGGTGGGCCCCGGCTGCTGAGCCCTGTCCAGAGGGTGGCTACAGAGCTGGGCCAGGGGAGCAGCTGCCCATCCAGGAGCGTCCCCTTTGCTGCATGGGACTCCACAGGCAGGAGCCCCGTGTGCACCCATGCTTGGTCTTGGGCTGGGGCACCGTGCCACGGAAGGACCCCCGCCTGGGCTCGGCCTCACTCTGGTCCCAGCAGAGTGGCCTGAGTGATCCCTGTGCCCCGCTGAGGGGGTCGGGGAGAGGTCCTCAGTGGGACCCACTCCCCACACCTGCTGTCCACCTCCTCGCAATCCCGTCCAGCCACTTTCCTCCAGCACTACTGACAGGGCCAGTCCAGCGTGTGTAGCGAGGCATGGCCAGCCCAAGGGTCTGCAGGCCACTCTGCTGGAAGTTCTGGTGCAGGGGAGGGACCTCTGTCACCCAGAACCTGCTCCAGTTTCCTGCCCCACAGCACCGGCTGGGGGAGGCTGCCCCTGAGGTCACCTCACCTGGTCAGCTCCGTCCTCCCCGTGTCACAGCAGGGAGGCCTCAGGCCAGCCCAGAGTCGGCTGTCTGAACTACCTCACGGAGGCAGGGTGGGCTGGGCACTCCTGTGCGAGGAGGAGCTGAGCTGTGGGCAAGTTCCYGACAGGGCTCGGCTACGGCCATAGCGTTGTCCCAGTCCCTCAGGATAGCCCTTTGGAGTGAGGCCCCGGACAGTGTCACTTCTACTTAGTAAATGAGTGGACGAGGGACTCCATCAATCAACTGCTGATAGATCCACTGGCCACTGGACAACTAGGCCCAGGGCGGTGCCTCTCAGGGCCAGAGATTCTGGCTGGAACCTGTTCAGGTGTGTCCAGCYGTGGGGCTAGGGGTGATCCTGGGGTCCCATGGGGGGCAGGACAGGATCAGTACAGCCCCAGGCAGGGTCACCCCTACCAGGAAGGTGCTTCAAGAACCGCAGTGGTAAGGGTCCCCGTCAGCAGAAGTTGTGCTGGACCCTCCCAAGGCTGCATCTGTGGGCTCCCAGCTACTGCACCTGACACCTCGGGAAGCCCATCACCCAGGAAAATGAGGCAAAGACCCCGCCACCTCGGGGCTCCGTTCAGCAAGCTCTTGGGTTGTCTCCAGTGATTTACACCTCAACAAGGGCCCGTCCTCGAACTGGATGAGGAGCAGGATGGGTGCCAGGTCCCCTCATCAGAGAGACTGCACCTGACATTCTCTCCTGGGGCCACATGAGCATTCACCTCTCAGCACATCGTGGAGACGAAGCAGGTGATTTCTTCAACCTCAGCATTCCGTAGTTCCGGTGGCCGTGGGTGCTGGGGGCACCCCACAGGGTGGGCACCTCTCAGCTCTCCCCAGGGCCTTTGCACCTGACTACACATGTCTGCTGCCTGACCCCGTGCAGAGCCCAGTGTACACCCCACACCTCAGATGACCCCAGCTGGCGGAGCCATCGGGAAACAGCCAGGGAGCTGCTCCAGGTAAGAGCAGCTCAGCCCTGGAGAGCGGCACACACCAGCTGCCCCTGCTGGCACAGGCCACACAGGGCAGACCTGGAAAGGTGGTGGCGCCGAGGAAAAGAGCCGGACACAGTGTCACCTGGGCACACTGACCTGAGAAGCCCAGAGCAGGATGCAAGGGCCCCACTGCTGCCTCCCTGGGGACCTTCCCAGGGTCAGCCACAGAGCTGCAGAGGCTTCAAGTTCACACTCCCAGCCCATGTGCTGCCATATTCCCCATGTGGTGGACAGGACAATGCTCTGCCCCCAGGGACGCCCAGGTCCCGGCCCCAGACCCTACACCTATGTCGCCTTCTGTGGCAAAAGGAACTCTGCTTATGGGATGGAGTGAAGCATCCTGAGTTGGGCACCATCCTGGATTATCCAGGGTTCAGCGTATTTAAGTCACTGAGGTCCTCCTCAGAGGGAGGCAGAATCCAAGAGAAGTGGAGGGTCAATGCTGCTGGCTTYGAAGATGGAGGAGAGCCTCCAGCAAGGGACCGAGTGGCTCTAGCAGCTGTACAGGCAGGACACAGACCTCCCTGGCAGCCCCAGGGATCGCCCTGCTGACACCTCACGTTGGACTCCTACTCCCAGAGCGATAAGCAAATCAATTTGTGTATTTAAGCCACTAAGTGGGTGGCCATTTGCCACAGCAGCCGCAGGACCATCACACCCCCTGCCCACATCTCCAGACCACCCTGCAGCCTGCATCCATGTGCAGCAGAGCCGGAGCCCTGGCAGGAGCTGGGCAGAGCAGCTCAGGGTCAGAAAAGACCCCTGGGCAGGGAGGGACTGGTCATCCTGATGGGGCAGATTGAAGGGCTGCTCTCAGGAGAGCTGGGCAACTAGTGGACACCCTCACTTTGCTTCCAGCAGCTGAGCCTGTGGACACGGATGCTGGAGCCACCCAGAGAGAAGGCTGGCACACAGGGGCCTGGCCTATCCAGGAGCCCCATGATCCTCCCTGCCCAGGACCTGCCAGGCTCTGCCAGCTCTGGTCAATGCCAGAAAACATCTGGGCCCTGGTCAGCTGGACATTTCTCTTCTGTCTGAGTGGTAGGTCCACAAGCCCTGAGCGCTTGAGGGACCCTAGGGTGCTCCTGAAACTGCTGCCCTGACGGCTACCTGTGTCCAGCCCRTGGAGGGCAGGCCTGGCCTGCAGGACTTCTCAGAGCCTCCATGAGGCCAGGGAGCACAGAGTCCCCGCAACAGGAGCGTGGCCCAGTGCCGTTGCCCCGCATCTGCAGGCATGTGCCATCTCAGGGAGGGACGGGGGCAGAGCCAAGGGTGGAAAGCCTGTGGGCACAAGGCATGCCTGTCCTGCTGCTGGAGGACCCTGCTGCCCACCCCRCGGGGAGGCTGCTTGCTGCAGGCCCCACTGAGCCCGCACAGCACCGCACACCCACACACCTCCCTCAGGGGCAGTGGGAAGCTCTCCAGCAGCTCGTAAAGAAAGGGGTATTTCACTGCCATGGTGTCGCAGAGAGCAGTCTGTTTCCAGCAGTGGCCATCCCGTCCAGAACAGAGACGGCCCGCCCAGCAGCCCTTGTGGGGGCCTTTGAGGCTCCACCTGCCTGGCAGCCCTGGAGCCTTCGCCTGGGCTACTCAGAAGCTTCAGGTCAGCACTGCCCTGCCCATGAGCCCAGCTCCCATGGAGCATCCAGATGGAGGCCCGGAGGGCCGGGACACAAGGAGCACCCTGGGGTAGAGACTGAGCTCTGGGGTCACCCCTGCGCTTGGAAGCCCCCACCCCAGCCCAGCTTCCCCCTCCAGCAGCATCTCCTCAGCAGGGGACGCAGACACCTGCTGGAGGAAAGGGGTCTACCAGGCCCCCGGGGCAGGGTGGGGAGGGACAGGTCACTTCCCTGCTTCCTGAGCACCGCAACCCCCCAGAGGGATCTGTAGACTCTCCTGCCTTTGGGGGTCACTGGGGGGAGCCTTGTTGGAGTGGGAAGGGAGCCTCTCCCACAGACACACCCACCCCATCACTGCAGGCTGCCATCGCCCTGGGGACAATCAGGGCTGGCCCACCCCTGCCCACCAGGCCTGGCCCTGCAGAGCCAGAAAGGGGAGCTGCCAGGTCCCTCACCCACGGGGCCCTTGCGCCCTCGCAGAGAGCTTTCTGCCCGGGTGATTCCCACTCCCAGGGAGAAGGAAGCACTGGTTTAAAGAGTTGGTCCCGCAGCAGGGACAGGGTGGAGGACACAGGGACAAAGGCCCAGGGACCAGTTCTGGCTGCACTTTAAGAATCTGCTGCAAATGTGAATTCGATCGCAGTGAAGGCTGCTGACTCCTGCAGAGGTGCAGCCGTCAGAGCCCAAGGAGTCGTCCCAGCTCTTCAGGGTCACGGTCACTACGCACTTTCCCAGTCACTCTGGAGTCTGCACTCCCAGGAACTTGGAGGTGGCTCAGGGAGGGAAGGACATGGGACAGCACCACCGGGACTGGGGGCAGGCCCAGCTCAGGAGGACATACGGTACCAAGTCCCAGGGACTGCGGGTGGTCCCTCACAGTGACAGACTCCCTGCCCAGGGTCACTCACTCTGTCCCCTCCATTCTGTCTCCTCAGCCACAGTCATGCCCCTAGCTCCCAGGAGTCTCGTCTCTGTGGACTTCACACGCATCTCTCCCAGCTGCCCCCCACAAGCAAAGCGGCTGCCAGGTARGCCCCACCACGTCTCCCTCTGCCTGAGCCCCCAAGCTGCAGTCGCGGGGCCAGCCTGCCTGCCCTTCCCCTTCCCTGAACAGGCCCACGCCCAGCAGACCCATCTACTCCCATGAACCCCAAGTAGCCTTATGGGGTTCTGCCTCCAGGTCTGTGCACAGGCCCCGAGGCCTCCTGCCGCCTCCCCGTCTCTTCCAGCAGATCCATGCCACCCTCTAGGAGGCCCACCAGGACTGCGCCCCGGTGCCTCTGCACTCTCTCTCCAGCTGGACCCTGGCCCCGGGTGGCCAAGAAGGAGGAAAGGAAGGASCAGCAGGAAGGACCACAGGCCCTCTGGGCTGAAACATAACCGGGGGCCTCAGAGCAGGGGAGGCCTGTGGGGCGCTGGGGAAATCGAAGCCGACCCTGACCAGTGTGTACAGGCCCCTGCAGCCTCCGTCCTGGAGGAAGCCCTAGTGCACAGCTGCCCGCCGCCTGAGCCTCTGCTGCCCTGGGTGGGAGGCTGCCCTGRGTCCGGAAGGCTCAGCCTCCTGGTGGGTTTTCTCAGGAAGCTGCTTGACAGCACAGGTCACCACCTAAGCCCAAAACTCCAGGCGAAAGTCCTTTGACCCTCTCAACACGGAGCCATCCTTTCCCCTGAGACACCACCCCGGGATGTCCCCTGAGACAGGGGGTAGGGTCCCTGTGGCCCCCAGGAGGGGCATCCAGACCCACTTCAGGGAGAGGGCCATAATCAGCCTCATGGACAGAGTGTGAGCGCACGGCCAAGCAGGCAGGCCCTGGGGCCCAGGGCCACTCTCCCCCTGGCCTCCGAATTTTCTCAGATCGCATCTCCCATCAGGACAGGTGGGAGTGTCTCCGGCTGTGCTGGGAGGAGGTGAGGATTCTGTGCTCCTCTCCAGTGCTCCCGGACCCACGTGCCAGCGGCCACCTCCATTTCCACCTCTGTGAGCCCTGCCCCCACTGCCCCCGGGAGATGCAGCGGGGGTGTCAGGGGAGCCCTGCAGGCCAGGCATGGGTGCCGGGGAACCCTGGTGGAGTGCCTGATGCCCCTCTTCCCACATGGCGGGGTCCTTTCTGGGTCCCAACCCTCCCTTCCTACCAGGATCCCCCATGTCCCTCTCCCTCCCCACCAAGCAGAGCTTCCCCCTGATCTGGGGAAGGGTTCTGGTGTTGGGGTCCAGGACACCTGCAGCCCACACGGATGCTCCTGAGGGGGTGGGGCCAGGCCAGGGCCTCTGTCCAGGCAGAGCTAGGGACGTCACCTGCTCGTCTGTGCAGACTTGGTGAAGCTGCACGGAGAGCAGGTTTGGGACAGAGGACTCTTGCTTCAAGTGCCTGAAGGACATGCCCTTTGAGCCACCAGGGTCCCCCTTGCTGGGTGGAGCCCTGCCCCTCCTCCTTCCCTGGGGCTCACTGAAGCCCCCTTGGAGGGGGCTGCCTCCAAGGCAAACTGGGGGGCCCCTGGGACTGTCCTGTCCAGGTCACCTGGGATAGACCCTGGCAGGGCCCTGCCTCCTCATCACCAGCCCCAGAAGCTTGGGCTCCCTCCAGCAGAGGCCAAGTTCTCAGCTTCTCCCTGCACTTGGCCTCRGCCTCCCGCCTCCTCCCAAAGGGCCCTGGGAAGGGCGCAGGCCCTGGCTCCCTTGATCTTTAGCACGAGCTCCCCACCTGCTTGGCCTAGAGGGCTCCTGGGGTCTCCCCTCCCAGGGCTGCCCCTGGCATGTCCTCTGGAAGCCGCAGTTGGTCTGCTTCTTGTCACTGCCCTGTGAATATTCATTCTGGGATTGTTACAAAGGTACTTAAAAAACAAGTTCACTTGGATAAGGATCTGAACTGCTGCCAGGCACAGCTGCCGGAGGAGCCYGCGAGGATGGGGGCAGGACACCCTTCCCAGGGCCCACGCGGGCCCTCTCTGGGGTTTTGTTTAATTTGGGATGCGTTTCTGTTCCCTGCGTATAACATCTATAAATGTCACAGCGTGCTTGAGCTATGAGGGGGTCTGAGCCCTCCCCTAGGTAGACACCAGAGGGCCGCTGGGCCAAGCCCCGAGTCCTGGGCAGGGACATCCCAATGCTGCCCGTCTCTGCAGGCAGCTGCTTCTGCAGCCCGTGTGCAGTCTGGGGGCCTGAGCTGCCTTGTCCTGAGTTGTCATGGTGCCAGTCTTGATCTCCATCTCCAAAACCTCAATCAGCATAAGGATGTGTCCCCAGGGCCATCTGAAGATCTGGGTCTGAGGTGGAGGCCACCCCGTGCAGCTGTCTTCCTGCCACCTGGGGTTCAATAGTTGGGTGGTGTGCTTGCTGTGAGGAGATGGTCACTACCCCAGAGAGGCTGTGGGAGGGCACAGCAGTGCCCAGCCATAGGTGGGGGAGCCTCAGAGTGCTGGGGARAGGTCACAGACCCAGAAGGTGCCACGGACCCTCTGCCGGTGTCAGGCCCCAGGTTGAGCACTTCCTGCAGCACTGCATCCCACGCTCAGCAGTGCTGCCTGGCATGGGCCAAGGGAACACCACCCTGTGCAGACGTTCCCCGTGGAGGGGTGATGAGGAGGGTTTCCACAGTGTGCAAGAAGAGGACCAGGCCTGGCTGCAGCCAGTTCCCACTTCACCACCTGGGGATCTGCTCCCCCTGGTGTGCTCTGCCTGCAGCCCAGTCACCCTGGACATCCCACTATCTCAGTCAGCTTTTCCTCACCGTGACCAAAATACCCCTAAATAGGAGGGAAACAGCCTCAGTCCACAGTCCAGGGCTCTGGGCCCAGGGTGCACACCATGGGGGAGGGGCCCAGCAGAGGGGAGCTGCCCCCTCCATGCAGCCAGCAAGCAGAGAGAGGGGGAAGGGGCCGCAGGCAAGATGCGCCTTCCAGGGCAGCCCCATGACCACCTCCCACCACGCCCACCTGCAGTCACCACCCATCAGTCCACTCCAGCCAGGTRGGCTGCTGAGGTCGCAGCYCTCAGTCCAGCTGTGTCACCTCTGAACTCTGTGCACCAGCACAGGGGCACTGGGGGCCTCCTAATATCCAAACCATGACATTGTGCCCCTGGCTCCTAAAAGCTAATGCCCATCTCAAGAGCAGAATGCATTCAGTCAATCCTGACAAGTCCCAAATCTTAACATTCCAGCATTACTCAGTCTCCTCCGAGACTCAAGGCGAACTCCCAGCATGAGCCCTGTAAAAATAAAAAACAGATTCATGTGTTCAAAATACAGTGGCACAGAGTGAACATTTACTTTGGAAAAGAGATGGATGGGGCACAGAAAGAAGAAATGGGACCCAAATCCAGCCGGGTACGCAGGCCCAGGAACTCTGCACTCAGTACCTCAGACACGTGGCTGTGAAATGTGCTCTCCAAAGCGCTTGGCAGCCCAGCCCCTCTGGCCTTGCCAGGTGCCACCTGGGCTCTCCTCCTGCCTGGCACGTGCACAGCCAGCAGCTTTCTCAGAGTCAGTCCGCGCTCCCAGCTCCCAGCGTCTCTTAGTTCCCRAGGTCTCCACTCCAGCGTCAGCTTCACCTCCACAACCTCCGACATCTGCCTCTGGGGAGCTGCCCACAGGGACTCCAACCTTGCCACCCTTTGCCTGGCCACCCAGGTCTTCCTTTGAGACTTTGGTGGAAGCCTCCAGAATCCCTTAACCTAGCCTCCTGCATCCCTGCAGAACCAGCATCACAAGGATGATACCAAGGTTTTCCACCTTGCATGAAACCTGGCCCCTCCCATCTGAATATCTGTGCAGCTCAGCGCTGTGAGACAACTTCCTAGCCCCCACGCCCCGCCACCTCGTGTGAGCAGGGTGCCCCACGATCTCCTTTCAAAGTAATTTTCTCATCTGGAGCCTGGAGCCTGTAGTCGGTGTGGTCTTGCAAATTCCTGAGATGCCCTCAGGCCCTCTCTCCCAGGTCCCTGTGCTCAGCCCTGAGGGTCCTTTGGCCTGAGGTCTCTCCAACAAGCACATCCTCTTGGCCCCAACTTTACATGCATTTTTCTGGTCCAACTTCAAGTTTTTAACATTCTTCAGTTTTTTTKATTTCTACCCCCATTTTTCACAGTAAACTTGGCTAAAAACTGCCCAGAGTATCCATGCCATTGACTGAATATTGTCAACTGAATATTGAAATTTTCTACAGCAAATTAATCAGTTCATCACTTTTGAATTCAGCCGCACGCACTCTCAGGACATGGGTAAAATGTAGACAAGTTCTTTGCCAGAACAGAGCAGGAGTGACCTGCAGTCCGCCCAGGGGAGTCCTCATTTCCCTGTGGAAACTCATGAGCACCGTCCACAATCCTATCAGCATTCTTGTCTTCTGAGCTGCCAGAATCTCCCCCTAAGCTCTGCTCACAACATTTGAAGGCTTTTCCAGTCTGAATCTCTAAACTTTTCAAAATTCCCCCCACAAACGAGCTCCAAAGGCTCCTGAACCCCAAGGTCAGGCTAGCCACAGCGATGACTCCACTTCTCAGTACCAACTTCTGTTTTAGTTCATCCTTCATCACTGTGACCAAAACACCCAACAAGAACACCTTAGAGGAGGGAAAGTTTATTTGGGGCTCACATTTTCAAAGCTCTCAATCTGTGGACCGCTGGCTCCATTGCTGGGACCTGAGGAGAGGTAGCACATCATGGTGGAAGAGTCCAGTGGAAGGAAGCTGCTCGACTCCCAGTGGGGTGGGGGGAGAGAGAGAGAGAGGGAGATTGGGGAAGGAACCTCAAGAAGAAGAACACCTCCAGGTCATGACCCCAGGGACCCCTGCCCTCAGTCCACCCAGTCAGTCCATTTCAATCAGGGTGAGCTGATCAAGTCACAGCTCCCACAGTCCAGTCATTTCACCTATGAGCATTCCTGCATTCACAGGAACTTTGGGGGACCCCTCATGCCCAAACCCTAACATCTACCAAAGGCCACTCAGTGGACAGGCAGTCTCTGAACCTGGCTCTGCCCCAGTGAGATGCCCTTGGGTGGAGGGGACGCTCCTCGTGGTGGAGCACCATTGGAGGGGTTTCTACTGCTCAGCATGATCCCAGGCCTCCCGTGGCCTTTGCTGATGGCTGCTGCCGATCACTGGGTAGAAGTGTCCAGTGTGCTGGGTTTCACACCCTGAAACCCCCAATGGACAGCCCAGGAGGCACCAGGACTCTGCATTTATATGAGCTTGTTGGGGGGGGGGTGGCTCTGATGCTGTTGCTGGCATAATGGCCACAAAGTCACTTGACAGATTCAAGTAGGTGCTGCTCTGGCTCTGGTAGAGCACCTGTCTAGCACGAGCAAGGCCCTGGGTTCTAGGACCAGCAGAGCAGACAGGTACAGAAACAGAAACAGAAATACAAACACCTGAGCTGGCAAGGGGGCAGGTGCTGGTTGGAGCATGGCCAGCACACACCACTGATCCTACAAGACCACCCGCCCTGTCCTGCCGTGGCCACTCACTCCAACTCCCAGGAGGAACGTGACCCTGCCGGCAGCATCCCCACGTGAAATCCAGCCCGGGGTCTTGGGCTCTGTAGTGAAGGAGCCCCTGGCTGTGTACTTTGCYGGGAGGCGGCTGCCTGGAGGGGGCTCTGCTCCTCAGGAGCCCAGGGCTCCAGGCTCTGCCAGGCCAGTCTCAGCCAGCTCCAGTCCAGCATCTGGGGGGGAGGAGACCGCAATCTCGCTCCATGATCTATCCCCACATCCTGCAGTTGGCCCATGCATCCCACTAGCTTCCCACGGCCCAGCTTGTCCCTCCTGGAGAGGGCCTGTGACATCCACACGGGCCCTGAGCAGCAGACCTCAGCGGCAGCTGGTTCAGCCAGGAGCTCTGCAAGGGGAATCTGTCTCCTGTGGGCACCCGTCCTGTCTCCACAGGAGCTTGCAGCTGAYGGGCAGGTGGCGGTGGCTGGTCCTCCTTTCTCCTCCTCTCGGCACCCCTATTTACCTCTCCCCCTGGTGCCAATCAGCTGAGCAAAGACTGCACTCAGTGGGGGGACTGCCAGGCTCTGGGGTCCCTGAGCACAATTCCCTCTTCCGGGTCGGCTTCCCTGGGAGCCCTTCCTGCAGGAGGGAGCCTCCCAGGTAACAAAGTGTGTTAGAGCTGATGCATGGCCCTGCCTGCTTGGAAAGCTCCAGAGAAAGTCGGATCTGGCTTCTCCCAACCAGGAGGTATTCCCTGGATTTATCATGTGCCTGATGAGTTATTGCAATGGAATCCTCCAGGGAACTCTTGTGCAGACGGCAAGCCATGACAGTGATTGAGCCTCTATCTGGGACGCGCTGCTGAGGGTTAGGGTTCCCTCCAAAACCTCCTGCCCCRAGCTTGGGCTGGGCATGTGGGACGCAGGGATGCCCTGCTGGGTCAGCTGGCTGTGGGAGTCCTCAGCCCTGAGGGTGGCAAAGCCTGGGGTGTCCCACAGAGGTGGCCCTCAGTCCAGGGGACAAGGGGCTATCTCTCAGCTTTCTTTGGAATCCCCAAACCACTGTCCCTGGGGCACTCGCTTTGTAGAGTTCCCTAGAGTCACCCCGTAAACAGAAGCCTTGACCTCTTTCATGAGATGTCACAAGGGGTGGACTTGGTTTAACAAGGTGACATGATATGATCTCCCCCAGGAGCCACAAGAGCTCTCCATGCAGCTCCAGGGGCTGAGAGCCACCCCGGCCACCACCCCCGGCCACCGCCACAGAGAACAGGCATCTCTGTTTTACAAATCAAGCTCAACTATGAGACCACCACGTGAGCCTGGAAAAGACCCTGACTCGGGAGACGGGCCTGACCAGCACTTTGATATGGGCCCAGTGGGCYGTGGGCCAAGAGCCCACACGGAGGCTGAGCAGTGTGTTCTGGGGTGACTGGCTGGGGCGCAGCTGGCTTTCCCATTCCCCAGCCCCTCTGTCTCTGGCTCTCAGGCCCTCTGTTGAGAAGGAATTGGCTTGAGCAGGGGACTGAGGTGGGCAGGGGAGAGGCTCATCCCTCCTGGGTTGGGGATGTCTCTAGGGTGGCGACTGGAATYGCGGCGTGTGGCCACATGTTGAGGGTGCAGCTCCACGCGGTTGCTTCCGAGTGCTGGGAGGTCCAGTGAGGGGCCTCCTCTGCACCTGCCACCTCCAGAAGAGGGTCCCGGGTCCCACAGCGTCCAGTCCCTGGAGGCCTGTTTTCCTGGTGAGACGCAGGTCTCAGAGGCAGTGGGGCCGAGAGCCCTGGCCTTCCTGTCACCTCCCCCTGTGGCCTCTCCTGCTTCCCTCCCCCTCTGGGAACTGAGAGCCTGCAGGAAGCTGTGCTGGAAGCCACGGACCCCCCGGCCCTTGGCCCCCACCCCAGGGTGGTACCCCAGCTCCCCCAGCTAACCGCCCTGCAGCTGGGGAGTGAGGTCATCGGCTGGCCCATGCTCAGGTCCTGGCTGGAATGGGCCATTCCTGGGGATACCTGGTGGACAAGGCTGCCCGTCAGGCCGAGGTGCATTGCCGAGGGCGGGGCCAGGCCGCAGGGTGCTTGGGCAAGACTCTGCAGCCCCCTCCTGGTGGGGCTGCTGCCCATGAGGGGCCTCGGCTGAAGCCAGGAGTGGCCACGGCCAGGGCTGCAGGCTGGCTCCCCTGGGCATTCTGCAGTCAGGGTCATGAGCTGCTTTATTGCCCAGTCAGTGAGAACCTTCTGATGATGTCATTGCAGAGGCAGTCGCATGCCAAAAATCAGACGTTTCCCTCCGTCCACAGCTGACCCTTCTACCTCCACGCGGCCTCCATCTGGGGCCTCCCAGTGCTTCTGTTATCAGGAGATCTGGGACACCTCAGGCTACTTCCCAGGCCCAGGGGCTCATTTCTCATGCCCAGGGAGAGACCCAGGGCAGGGTGGCAGGTCTGGGGGCGGAAACCGAGGCATCTGGGGCAGGGAAGCCAGCACAGGCTCCAGCCCCTCAGCAGCGGTGGGGAGACAACCCTGGGCTGGGATCTGGGCACCCTGAGTCCCTCAGTCACCAGCTGTTCACTGGCACCACTGTCCTGTGCTCGGCCACACGCTGGGACAATGGGAGCCTGGAGCCAGGGTGGGGCCTGGAGCCAGGGTGGGGCCTGGAGCCAGGGGCCTGAGCATGATGTCCAGTCCTCGCTCCTCTGGGAACCCGGGCGTGGCACACAGTGCTGGCGTAGGATCAAGTGCCCGCTCAGACAGCCCTGTCCCCATCCCCACCATTGCACCAAGTGGGTGAGAGCTCCTGCAGGGCTGTCCACAGCAGAGAGGTGTCCTGG